CCCCAAAACCCCAAAACCCCAAAACCCCAAAACCCCTTGAGAGGGAATAGGAATTGAATAATTTTTATTTTTAGACCGTAAGGTTATGGGAGAGTGGTTTGGACATTTTTTAAGGTGTTTAGAATTGGATTCTGTACTTTTGGAGGTATTATAAGGTGGAGTGGTCTGGCTAAGGAGGTGGATATGAGGGAAAAGGTATTTAGAACAAAGGATTTGGTTATGGAAATGAAATTTGTTTGTGTGATTGAGGATCGAATTAACTTTAACTGATTCTACATCACTAAAGCCTCTAGATTACATAGCAATCATATAAAAACTTAAAGTATCTTTAAAAATGAATTCACTCCTCCAAAAACTAATTCCTCAGCACCAAAACTTCTAATTCCCCCTACTCTATAACCCCAAATATCGCCTCAATCTTCATATAGTAAAATTAATGAAGACAAAGAAGTCATTATTAAAGAAGAGCCCCATATTGCCTCTAAAGGAGAGCATAGAAAAGAAACCAGCCGAGTCAAAGAAGAGCAGAGAAACTGTAGTACAAGAGATGCTAGGAACAGTTAAATAAAATAGTTTTAGAGGTAATTAAAGAATTTTAATGTTTAGACAGTGGACAAAGCTAGAGGAGATATTGAAAACAAGATTTTAAAGAAAATAGAGGAAGGAGTTATCGGAGAGCAAAAAGAAGGTATGCAATGGGGTTGGAATTGAATTTTGGACCTAGAGGTGGGGTTTATAAGGGTTTAGAGTTTGAAGGGGCTATGAAGAAGTTAAGGGATGAGCAGAAGAAAGATGAGATTCGAGGATTGCTGCAATCTGTAGCAAAGACTGGGGTTTCTATAAAGGTGATTTTTTGATAATTCGTTAGACAGCGGAAAGAAGCAAGTTTCTTGATGAAGAAGATCCTTATGTACATTATTTATAATCCATAGGCCAATATGAAAAACATTGAAGAGAGGTTAAATTCTTCCTTTGATAATAGGATTCATAATAGAAGTTTTAGCTTGAGCCAGATAAGCTCAGAACACGTACCTAAAATTCTAAAATATAGAACCAAATGAAGAGTTATTCTATAAAATATCCAGATGGTAAATCCTAGCTCCTCAACCTCTAGATGCCTACAATGAGAAATAAATACATGCAAATTTCAACAGAGAGGCTAAGATCTATAAACAAAGAGAGGAAGCAGCTTCAGCTTCTTAAGAAACAAGAGAAAATGAGGACCAAAAGATTGATTGAGAAAGAAGCCCAAAAGAAACTCCAGCTCGAACTACTCAAGAAGAAAGAACGCGAACAAAAGAACGAGTTTATTCTTAAGAAAATCGGTAAATTTAACTACACTTTTATTGACTTCTACCTCGATTTCTTCTGGAATTAATATGAATAGAGCAAAGAAAAATTGACAGAGAGAGAAGTCTGCATGAAAGAGAGGAGGAATATAAGAAGGTAAAGAACATCACACCTATGTTCGAGAAGCTTCGCAAGAGTTATGTTGAGAGCCATGAGTTGCCAGAACTCCAGAAGAAGAAAGAGATCCTCACAAGTATCAGGGATTTACACCAACCAATCAATTTCAAAGGTAAAAATGTCAAATAATTCTTAGAATTTTGTCAACATGAAAAGAAGTGGAAGAAAAACAGAAAATCTATGATGAAATAAACTTGTGGATAAGAGGAAAGAAATGAATCGCAGCTCAAACAATCTTCCTTGTAAGTATCACTGCTTTATTTATAGACAAATCTAAGTTTACGAAAGACTATCTTGAACAAGAAGCTATCAGGATTAGTGAAAAACTTCATGAGAAAGAGAAGAGAAGCAATTACAGAGTCAAACTTAAGCACTATGGAAAACTTGTCCAACACACTTTCAGACCTGAGATTTCAAAGACCAAGAAGCAAGAGATAGAGGCTATGAAGGAAATGTACCCTAATGAAAGATGCATCATTAAAAGCAATGAGAGGAAATCAACACCTTCAAATGTATATATTTTTCTTAACAATAGGCATCGGTTACTCCACAGAAAAAGCATCCATATAGACAGACAGGGTTCCCAAGATCAACCAACATTACAATGCCAACCAAGAAGAAAGGTAAGCCCTACTTGATTATCTCTAGCATGGAAGAAAGTAAACCCAATGGTTCCAAAAGAGAAACCAAAGGAAGAAAGCAAGACCTCTGTGACAGTTGATTATCTGCAAGATTTCAAGAAAAAGCGGTCTAAGAAAGGTAAAAAGCCAGATCTCTACTATGCCCAACAGCAGATAAAACGTCACTTGAAAAAGAACGGATCAATGAGTCCAAAGGAGCAAATGGACGAGGTGAAGAACCTATCTCGAGCTCTTAACGAAAAAGCAGAACAAAAGCTACAACAAGTGATGGTTAACAAAAAGTATGATTTCAAATAATCTTTAGGTCTTCTAATCTAATAGAGGAATCCAATAACTTGATTATTGACAGCATAAACAGCAAACTAATGCTTTTACAGAAAATTTAACAATCCCTGATCTAAATAAAAATTCCCCCCAAAAGTCCCTAACCTCACCATTCCACCCATCTCCTACCAATTTCTCTACCCCATTAACCTTCTTCATCCCCTCTCCCTCTCATCTCTTTCCTATCCCTACCTCCAAAGCCCCTAAACTCCCTTAATCCTTATCTCCAATTTCCTTCTTTGGCACTGTTCCTTCTCAGCCTGCTCCTCTTATTCTATAATAATTCTATTATTCAATAAGTCTTTTGACTTAAGGGGTTTTGGGGTTTTGGGGTTTTGGGGTTTTGGGG